CTCTTAACGCTAACGGAAGGGTAGAGCAGGGCCTTCCGTCATGGCTTGTTCTTTCTTCTTTCATTTCTCAGAAAGGGGGAACCCTCTAGTGCCAAGGGAACCCGCCAATGCCTACAATGAGCTCCAACGTGCCCTTACTGTTGACGGTTGCTGTGTAACTTAAAGGCACGTTCCGCGATAAACTAAGGCTAGGTTCTCATAACCGTGCACGATGGTCAAGCAGGCAACGTCAGAGGCTATGCTGCTTTTAAAAGTTGAAAAACAGCAAGCAAAACGCAGGGCGCTCAGGTTTTAGGCCCATTTGCGCCCGATAGGCCCATGCCGGCCTCCAGTGACCGTGTCGTTGTGAGACTGCCATTGCGCTCTCTCGCCCGTCGTTTTCTGGCCTCTCTCGTCTCTTATCAGTGTATCGCCGCCTTTCGCAATTCACAATTGATCTTGACCACCTTACGCTCGTCCGGTGATCATGATCAATTGCAATAAAGAGGGTCTTATTCCGGGCGCTTTTTCGTGCTTCCTTCTTCTTCAATAAGTCAACAAACACAGGGCAATTCTATTTTTGAACTGTATTACCTATGAACTGTGGTCGCGGGAAATTGCCTTTAAGTTTTCATGGTCTTAGAGCGCATTCAAACGTAGACTTTGCCTGAAAAGTATGAGTATCTCACCTGGAAGCATGTCTCAACTCCGTCCACTGTCGATGATTCATCGGGAAACATTGTACCGGCATTAAATATAACAATATCGAAAATCCTGAAATAACGATGCAGTGTAACAAGTTTTTGGTGACCGGAAGAATCTCTGAACCCGACTGAGAATGTCCTTCAGACTAGTGAAGAATGCTCACTTCCGTCAGGGTTCAAAGACACTACAGAAAAATGGTGACACTTACGATTTGCTCTGAACGACATCATTAACGCCAGCAATAACCGACGACCAGATGGAGAAGTCAATCTCGATGATGTCCACAGGAATCTGAAAGAAAACTTTTCAGGCTGATATG